AAAATACATATTAGGTCATCTCATTCAAACATGTCCAGACATCTAGAGAAATGGTGGGAAAAGTAAAAGAGCTAGAGCATTCTGCTTGCTTTTGTTTTGAAGCTAGCACACCTAGCTACGGTATACCCCAATTAAGTTTGTAGTGCCGCAGAAGGAACACTTAAAAACATAAGAAAACTCATAGTGACCAAAATCGAGGCGGAATTTCCAAATGATTGGTGACACACGTAAAATTCGCAACTCGAATTCTCTGTGTGCTGGCTCAGCTTACGCGTGATACAGTGTTCTCGAAGTGCTACGTTGAAGATATGGTGTGAGAGCTCAAAGAAGGAAGAACGGATGCGAGTTGTGGTTGAGGACGCGCTCACATTGCCCACCTTGTCCAAGAAGAGCGGGTGGATGAAATGAGGTTTCAAATGGCGCATCACAGATGTTGCACCTTTGCGATGTTTGCCCATGACGAGACTTGCAGTCTAGCTGCAGCTGTTACGCGAATTGTGCCCAAAAATTGGGGATGGTCCACAGAACATGTTTTTGAATATCTCATTTACTCCCAGATGCAGGAGTCCAGAATCGAATTGGTGTCTGTAGCATTGATCTTCTCTGCCAATAGCGTCATTTAAGACTATCAAACTGGACCCTGCTCATAAACGAAATTTGTGTGGAATTGTACGCTGAGGCCAAGTCAGAAGTGTCAACTTTGGATTAACGCGAATGAGGAACTACCCGAATTGGATCACGAAAAGTCACGTGGGTTCACGTGGATGATGATTATGGCGACGGATTTCTGAGATGTGCCTCTTAAGCGACTCTGTCGGGAAAAAACCTCCATCGGTGCTCAAGTGTATGGCTTGTTTCTTAGCGATCAAATTAACAAAGGAATAGCAGTAGAAAACTACAATAACGATATCATCACCTATGTCGATGCCAGACCCTACATAGCTCATATTGCTCACGGGTATTTCGATCGACCAAACGGATATTGTGACCTCTACTTATCCGCCGTATTTTCCCAACTGCAGCCGTGCGACCTCAGCTGTTTTGGCGAACTGAACGCCCTACTCGTTGGGAAGCGCTATGATAATTCACTGATCATCTATACCGACATCGGAAGAATCTTGTCTATACTTGTTGAAATGAAAAAGCTGCGCGGTGTCCAGTGTTTTCTAGACGCTGGGATCGGGTCGTTAACAACGACAAGATCTGCTTGACTTAACACCAAAGTATTAGCTTTTTATCTTTCCTGCTGTTCATTTTATTCGAATAAAACCGTGGACATGTTTGAATGAGATGACCTAATATAAATATCTAGAGGTCAACGACATAGAGAAATCTTAACTTCGGAGCTTCAAAAATTAGTACACTATAGATGTTAGCGAGAATTTTTTTCCAGAAAATAGCTTTATCCCGAGGGGACATATTCTGTGGAGCACGAATGAGTCCACAGAACTGGGAACAAACATTATGGGCCTGATGCCAGAGGTGAACACGTAGCTCTGATCAGTCTGAGGAGATACGATTTTCAAAAAGCACACGGAGGAGAAAGAAAGAAGAGGGAACAATCGTAAAATCAGAGGCCAACATCGGCGAGAGTCATCCGATCAATGCTGACAAGCTGTAAAGTTGTGCCTGAGCGACGAGATATCACTGGTAAACGAGATATATAGGTTTAGTTGTGCTGAGACTGGCTGAGACTCGGGCCAAGCTTTTTCGTGGCTTCCATTCTCTGAGAGACGGAAAGGCATGCCTTCTTGAATGGCCCATGTTTCCGCTTCATAAAGAATCAAGAAAGAATGAGGAATCAAAGGAAAATGAAGCAATCGCTTTGCTCTCATTTTTGAGAATGCGCCGTGCACCTTTTGCCCCATGAAAATGATTAGAAGCAAAGTCGCCATTGGGGCTTTCAACGTCCATGACATACACTTCCAAAAGGAAAATAGGGTGGAGTTGAATTTCACTGACCTTTGTTGGGATGCGCCATGCACCTTTACTTTTGCTCGGAGGCACAATTAAACATTTATGCACTATGACAAGTGGTGGCTACATGACTTGCAGTGGTGGCCCGGCGTAGTACAAGTCATTGTTTTCATCCTAGCAGTCTGACACCAGCTCATAGAACTCGGAATAATGGAAGGGTTTTCAAAGCGCGGAAGGGCTTTAGCCGGGACATGACTCCTGAAGCTGAATCGTAAGCGGCGCTAGTTTTACAGTACATTCACCTCCACAAAAAAGGAATGCTTTTGTCTGGATGGACGATGAGACCAGGCAGAGCAGACGGCAAAGCAAAAAGGCACCGCGGCACAGCAAGATTCTCAAGGTAGACTTCTCAGGGCAAGGTGAGCGTCTATGCTTGAGGTCTCTCTCGGTAAGGGAATCGATTCATGCGAATCACTGAAGGAATTTCCAAAAAACTAGGTCTACGAGATTCGAAAGGCAACTTCTCCCAGACCGACACGTACCCAATGCAAGGCCAGGAAAGTTTACTGGGCAGGATTGCTAACAGAAGGAACCTACTGCACTAAGTAGCCAAGGTGAGGCTTATCACTTAATTAGTACGGTCTAAGATACCTGCCGTGAACCACTCTCTTACTCTTGGTGCATTATGCAGTATTGTCCCATTCGCCCACAACTTCTATGGGACTGAGGATTTGTTGACCAAATTGTAGCATTTCCTCTCACAGCCCAATGTTGACCCTCAAAGTTGGCACATTTTGCATATTATTATTCATCAGAAATACATTGAGAAATAATTGTGGAACAAGCACGTAGGAAGGTTATTTACACAGGGACGCCATTTGGCTGCGTCTTCGATATTCAACCCATAAATCATCGTATTCTATCAGATGAAGACGTGAAGAAAAAACAAATGCGATGGGAGTAGTGAAATTTTATTGAGCTAGATTTTTTTCGTCAGCAGCAGAATCGGTTTTCGTTTTGTAGAATCAGTTGAGACAGCTTCGTCCTTCCTTCGGGTATTTGCCGGCGAGTTCCAGTTGTCCAGCTTCGTACGTGGATTTAGGCGTTTTTCCGCTAGTCACGTACTTTGATGGAATGCCAACTCGGAATGTGCGTTGACAGGGCTGAAAGGTTTCAAGCATACATCGATACCAGTACAGATTCTCCATAAATTTTAAAACCAACGGAACCAAGAGTCACGCCACGCCCCACTTCCCCATCATCGTACTTACTTGACGCTTTACGGTCACTTTGAACCAGCTTCAGTGGGCGCTTCCAACCTGCTTCCGTCCAAACCACGGCCTCATTGCTTAACTATTGATCTCACGCATTCAAATTTTGCACCACCTCTGATAAATTGGAATCATCCACTCTGGAGTTCTCCGCAAACTGTAAGGCTTAGTCTTTTGAAGCAGGCTCGCGTTTTCTTTCGGGATTTGCGGACCCACCCAGGCCAGGGGTCCTATGACGCAACCCTATCTCTCCCAACCATGGGATAGGATCAGCGGCGGGGAACGCAACCTCTTGGGGAAGGATTGGAGGATGGGCGAGGAGGGGGATCGCCTCAGGCGCTGTTCTCTAGGCAGGTTCGCGGCAGGACCATTGAGGAAAGTCCAAGTAGTCTGAGGATCTCCCCTCTCCTCCTGCTTGCGCTTTTGTGGAGCCGTGAACCATGTTGCCGAGGAATCATAAAGTCAAAATATCCTTTCTTCTTCCACTCTCCTACTCTCTAACCTTCTTCTCGAGTGTCTGAAAGCCTGTGCATGAACGCAGATCTCGATGTAATTCTGTAGTTCTGTGCCGAAAAGGGGGAAAGGGAGCCGTTCAGAGTGCTCAACATATTTAAAACCACGGGAGGAGCCTACACTCTTCCCACAAATTGTGAGGTAGACTCAGTCATTAGAAGGAGATGACTTCCTTTTATCCGCAACGGATGAGCTATGTACAACAGGGAAATCAGTACTGTTCCCATTTGGAAGATCGTGTATTTTCTTTGAATTCCTAATAAAAAACCCATACTATAACCTTCCCGAAATGTGCTTTCCCATCTTAAGCGACCACCTCGCATTTCCTAAAAATTAAAAAAACGCAACACCTTCGCCCTACTATTTTCGGGGATTTCTCAGCACTTATGTACGCTGGGTGGACCGCAATGAAATGTTCTCGGTATTCCAGTTGTGCCAAATTACTTACCCATGAGCGTGGAAAATAAAACCACTCTTCGTGACACAAACCTTGATGCCATCGTTGCAGTCGTGATAGATGGCAATGTAGGGCTCGATGCCGGTGATTTCCTTAGTGCTGCCGGACAGGTTGTACTCGCCATTCGAGTCCGTCTTTCCTGATGCCATCAGATCATCTGTGTCGACAACTCCGGCATACGACTGTCTGCAATTACGGATTATCCTATCACATCCGATCTGTTCTGAACGTTCAAAAATTTTGGTGAACGAGCCAGAGAGACGTTGACGTGGGTTATAAGAGCTTTTGCTTTGAGGAACTTCCCTACAACGGTTTTTTTTCAAGAAGGGTTTTAAAAAGCTGAATTGCTGAATGCTCCAAAAAGCTCGTTGGCGTAGAATAATTACAGTAGCCTTTCGCCGTAATTTTTGTGAATTACATGCCATATGCTTGGAAGAGCCGATGTCCGCTCGTCTGTGCTTTCTACCCGGGCAGCGATGGCAAGCGGCGAGTGAAATGAAAAAGGGTATCTGATGCTAAATAAGGATGAACCAGAGGAAAAAAGTGATCCCAGAAGATTGGAGTAGATCATGTTCCTTGTTCGAAAAAGCTGGAATTTCCGAAGTCAGTTTGGTCATGAAAACTATCGCGGTTAAAGGGTACAGACGAGCAAAATGAGTGCCTCTTTCCCCTCCCCTTCACCCCTCCCTTAAGCACGATGATGTTGTATTTTTCTATCAAATTTTTGCGTTTGCATTTTATCAAGAACCTTTCAAACGATACGTTAGAAGCATTAAAGCATACTGTGGAGCGGAAGTGGTATGGAGGCAAGGCGTGCTTACCATGCGCACGATCCCAGGATCAAAATGTAGCGTACACGTCCAGGCCAACCAACCCTTCCATCGCTACCGGATGGTTAACTCTTCAGAATAATTAGGAGGATAACAGCTCCGACTTGTGCATTGGATGGCCCACGTAGGACACGTAGACGAATCGCACGAATGAGTACTAGTGGAAGTAGAAGGCGTTGCGCATCTTATGCTTTATCCTTTATTCATTTCTAGTACCCTGTATCCTTATTTTTATATGTTTTCACCACGAGCAATCCAAATATTCGCCAAATCGCCGAGTCGCCAAATCGCACGAGTAGCGAGCTGTGAAAGGGGCTTTACGTCCACTTACCACGTTGATTCTCAGCAAGAGCCTGTCCACCACGTCTGGCTTACAGTGTAATGCGATCGGTGCGACGGGGTGTACATTAAGGTCATTACGTTTCACAGTGTAAACGACGCATTGTACAGAAAGACAGTGTTTGTGAGCAATTTATGGTTGACTGTGCGAAGGGTGATTCCTTGCCTTTCGAAACACTGGAAATATTGACAAAACGGGTTCGTAAGCGTATTGCGCAATATTGTATGTACAGTAAAAGTCTTTTGCCGTTATAGAAAACGGAATCGAATGGGAGGCATTAAAAAGCCGTCAAATGTCTTATCCTTAATCCCTTACTTCTATTTATCGGTTTGTTTATTTAAACTGTTTACTTTTTCATGACCAATTCATGGTAAAGGATAAGGCATTCGGGGACATTCTTTTCAAGTATATACCAAGCATTTTACTCCGATTCAAAATCGTGATGCATTTGGAGTGCGATAAGGCCTCTACATATATTGACTTGCAGACGCTAGTCGCTTTACGAGTCATTGTCTTCCCCCCTCCCCCAGACAGCCTGGTATGAACCAATACTCCAGGGGAAAGGTTTGATTCGCCTGGACAACGTACGATCTAGGATTTGCTCCCCGGACCTTGCACGTGGTAAGCAGCGCCACTTCACTACACGACATTTCTCCATCCTCGATTTAGGTAAAGGTGACTTACTGTCAGAATCGTAGAGTTTCACGCGAACTCCTGCCGCTGGTTTGCCATTGCACGTTAGCTTTCCTCGAGCCTGAGCGAATTGTTCACGGAAAACATGGAAAATTTGATTTTTTGGAAATTTATCGCTAGTATAAATTGGCTCTTACAGTCACTAAGCAACGAACAACGTTCTTGGCGGAAATGTTGTTTTATTTCCAGGAAGTGTTTATTGCTACTTGACGATAGAGACCTAAATTAAATATACAGGGGAAGAGGATGGATCACGGTGGCAGGGGAGTATCGTGAATGGAAATGAGAAGGTTTTCGAAGCGTGTCTTTTCTTGTAAGCTACTCGATCTGTCCAGCGATATGGGGGTCCTGCTATTTGCTTTACTGATCACAAGAAACAGTGAAGCTTTTGTTTTTCCATTCCATTTTTCTTTCATTTTATTAATGCAGTTTTTGGTCGCACTTGGCGATGCAAAGACTATAATTCGTAGTTTTTTGAATTCGCTAGAATTCGACCCCCATTGAGAACCCTAGTAGGTCTCACAAGAGCTAGCTCTACCGACCTGCGGAGACTGATCGAGTCAGTAGTAGTTGTTCCTTCCTTCACATCTTTCCTCGAACCAGGGTCAACTGTCGCTGAGCCAAGATCAAGGGAGGTTGTATTTGGGTTTCGATGAGTTCATATTCCAGTACTTGGGTACTGTGATCATTGTATGGGATCACGTCTGGGGTTTCCGTAGTTGTGGTGGTTGAGAGGTCGTGCTATAGTAGAGTGGAGGAGGTCTTTTTGCTAGATTTTCTACAATTCCAACGGAAAAATGCACATGTGTGTGGTGAAGGACAGTGGGAGGGGATCCGCGGGACCCCTCCAAGGCTGGTGATGGAGGTCCTGTTGAGAGCTTCTTAGCAGGCCGGGTCATAAAAAATTCTGAACCGAAACAAAGTAGCAGTTCACTCGTGGTAAGGCTTCGATGGTGCAATGTATACCAGAATGCTCGTAAACTTCGTGTGAGGGTCAGGTTTTGCCCTAGGAGGCTTGTCCGCGTCCCACTACCTTTGCTTTGCTTAGAACACCTCGCAAAATGTAGAGGTCTTGGAAATTGTCAACTCTCCAGCTAGCTTACCGCTGTCGACTGCGTCCTGCCGATAAGGTTGATAGCTGAGGCGGTGGCAACGAGAGCGAGCAGCAGTAAATATTTCATCTGAAATTTCTTTATTTAGTCAGAATAAATGGTAACGACACGACGAGTTCATGCAAAATTCCATAAAGCAAACTAATCGACGAATAAGCTCTACGTTTGCAACCACAAGCACGTCTACCGTATTTCCCTTGAATTCGTCCAGGAAAGTATGTAAGTAAGCAGTCATTCAGCGCAGAGTTTCTCACAAGATTCGTTGAGTAGTAGGCAGTAGGCAGAAATGAATGATATGATAGGTTTGAGAGAAATAAGGGAAAAGGTAGTAATGGCGCTAATAGGGACATATTGGTTTGAAGGGGAGATGCGAACGCCGACCTTGCCGAGTTCATGGAAACGATCACGAGGCATCTGTTCGATGGCGACTCCACTGGGAGAAAAATGGAAGAAGAAAGAACGGAATAGACCGAAAAATAAGCTCCCTTCTCAATTTTACTTGAATAAGCTTCCTACTCCCCTCTTACTGCCCAACTTTTCCGAGAAGATAAAGATTTTTTTTTTGAAATCTATCTTGTTGTCCCTTAGAATCCAAATATCTCACTACTTGTAACGAAGCAGTGTTTGGTGCCTGCGCTAGTGGAGCTGGCAGCAGAAGGCGACAAATTTTCATAGACCACCAAATTAGCTGAAAAGTGCCTCAAGAAGTACTGCACTTGGAGAACACGAATATCCGATTCCCACGAAAGTCTTAGGATTTACGAAACGTGCCCGCTCTAAACAAATGTGTTGTTGCGGGCGCCTGTGGCACGAGTTGAAGCGTTCCTTCATCAAATGAGGATCAGTTCCAATAAAGGAGACGGGAGCATGTGGTGGTGCGTGCAGCAGGTAGCTGCAGAGGTGGAAACTCC